CGAACTGCCTAACGGCCATGATCCCAGAGACTCAGAAACGAATCTCGGAACCCAAAGGCTTTTGGCAGAAATGCATCCTGTTCCTGCAGTAGGTTACTGGTGCTGGGCCACTCCAGGTGGGAATAGGTTTCGTGCCTTGGCCTGTTCTTTTTGGCGGCCCAGTGATCACCATCCTCCAGAGGCCACAGGACAGTCATGTTTGGGCCTGCAATGATGAGACACGCGGGGCCTCACCAGATGGGGGTGGAACCGGCCCTTTCCTCCCCATCCCAACGAGACCCCGAGTCGCCGCCTACGAATGGCCTCTCTGGCTCCTGATCAAGCTCATTAATGGCCATGATCCCAGAGACTCAGAAACAAATCTTGAAACCCAGCAGCTTTTGGCAGAAATGCATCTGGACCACACACAAGGTGGCCACCGCCTCAGAGCTTATTGGAAAGCCAGCGGTGACAGGACAACTGCAGTCTCATGGGAAGGGGAGCGGCATGGGCTCGTCCTTCACACCCTACCGAGATTATGCCCCCCATGAGCGGCTCTCTGGCACAGCCATGGCTCCAGAGGCAAAAGGACTTAATCTAGAGCCCGGCAGCTTGTGGCAGAAAAGTGAATGGATCATGCATTAAACTACAGCGCCATGCCTCCCCAGGAGGGAAAGGGTGTTGCTCCCTTCTGCCTTTTCCCCCCCTGGCAGCAAGGTGGCTGCCGCCTCAGAGCTTACAGGAAAGCCAGGTATGAGCTGGCGGTGACGGGGCAACTGCAGTCTCATGGGAAGGGGGATGGTACCAGCTCGTCCTTCATGCCCTACCGAGGTCACGAGTTGCCCCCCACAAGCAGCTGTCCTGCATGGCCATGACTCCAGAGGCAAAAGGACTTAATCCAGAGCCCGGCACCTTGCAGCAGAAAAGTGAATGGACCATGTGTTGAACTACGGCGTCATGCCTCCCCGGAAGGGAAAGGGTGTTGCTCCCTTCTGCCTTTTTCCCCCTTGGCAGCAAGGTAGCCGCTACCTCGGAGCTTATTGGAAAGCCAGGTATGAGCTGGCGGTGACAAGGCAACTACAGTATCATGGGAAGGGGGGCGGTACTGGCTCGTCCTTTGCTCCCTACTGAGGTCACAAGTTGCCCCCCATGAGCGGCTCTCTGGCACAGCCATAACACCAGACGCACAGAAACCAATCTCGTAATTATCTGGCTCTTTGCAGAAATCCAAAATCACAGCCATGTGACATTATATTATTCTCATAACCAGCTATAGAAAACAAAGTATTTCACAATGCCTTTTCAGCAATTCTGATTCGTGTGTGGGGGGGGGGCAGAATTCTAAACAATAATGGTGCATCTTTTGTCGAAATGATGAATGTAATCAATGTAGAGAAGAGTTAAGTAAAAATCATCTGCCTCGCAGGCATTGGGAGGGGTGGGAGGGGGGTATATCGGGGTTCTTAGTGGTGATAAATGAGTACTGATGAAGGGAAAGGTATTTGATCATTGTATGACCCAGACAAACCTGAAAGCTTAGTAACTTTTCCCACAGTGATTCAATAAAAATATATGTCTGGTCCTCCCGTTGTTCATCGATTTGCTCGAGCGGGCCCAGTAACATCTCCATCGTGAGACTTGTTGTTACTGTGTTTGGCATATCCAATACGTCACAGGTAGCTTGCCAGGCTCTGCTGTGCGGGCGAGGTACTCTCAGTAGCTTGCCTGGCTCTCCAAGAGGGGCAGAGAAATCGAACTCGGGTCGGCCATGTTGGCCGCTTGTAAGGCAAATGCCCTACTGCTGTGCTATTGCTCCAGCATATATAAGAAGAAAAAATAAATTATGAAAAAAAGAAAGTGACTCAGAAATAATATACTGACCCCCCCACCCCACAGTATATTAGCTCACTGCCCTCTATTCCTCCAGACTCCATGAGACTGAATGGCTACATTGCATTTTTATTGTCTTAATGTTTATTAAGGAAAATGACAGATAAAAAAGATAATTTTGCACCCACACATTCTTCTTACTCAGATTCTGGGGACCAGTCATCTTTCCACATTCTTAGCAGGTGGAGATGCTGCCCTGCAGTGCAGTGATTAGATTGAGGGGATCAAAGTCGAGAAATGTTGAAAGAAAAAAGAGAACAGGCAAGTAAATGTCAGGACAACATTCTCCACAGGGAACCAGATAGAAATAGCACAGCAGTTACAACAATGAGGATCTTTATGCATATGTCTTAGTAACCAATACACTTCTTCAGAACAACAAGAAAGACCAAAAAACAAAAACAGAAGGTGGGGTGGAGGGGAGAAATACAATATTCCAAACAGTTCACAGCCCATAGATTGATATTACAAACTAGGCGTAGATTATCTGGAGGCTTTGGAAGAGGGCTGGGAGTGAGGCAGAGGACTGGAAGGGAAGAATTTCCAACATAAGTGCCAACAGGGTACAGACACACAGAGAACTAAAACTACTTGGTAAGTACTTCCAGTGTTGCAGTGTCCAATACTTAGGGTAGATAAGTCCATACTGGTGTTTGTACATGCTGCATGGTAGAGGTTACTGCAGATTTTATTTTCTAAAGTAGGCAAGGCTTATGAATTGACCATTTCACATTGTGACTACTTGGTATAATGCATGCGTGTTATTGGGAGTGCTTGAACAGGAAATGTCAGTTTCACTGAAGCCTGACAAGGTCATCCTTACCTCAGAGCACTATTATCCTCTCAGTGATCCAATCATTTATTAAATACTTATCCCAGACCTTGAGACATCTCATCCATCCCTTTATCTGGAGATCAACACTGGGAAGCAGGTGTGACATGTGATGTGAATACCTAGGTAGTGGGTAGCAATGGGTACAATTCTCAAAACTGCCTGTACCTGGGCCAAAGGGAGGCAGCAGCTGACTCCAGAACAATGCTCCATCAAGACAGACATCCCTTGAAAGAAGCTAACTATTCTGATTCACATAGGGTGGGAGAGGAGAGAAAAATGTGATGCGGAATCATTTTCATCTGTCAAGTTTAGCAGATGGAACGAAGTCGTCTCATTTGCTGAATTTTGGAAAGTGCAGTGGGCCTTGTCCCCGGGGGTGGTGTGCAACGTGAGCCCAACCCTCTACCAACTCACTTCCCCACCAGGCTGTGGGCACGGCTGCTTTTTAAGAAGCTGTATGCTAACTTCAGATGGCACCGAATTCAGTCCTGAAAGTGCAACAACTCATTACTCATCTTTTCCGTCTTCAGTTCTTTTGGGGGTAAAAATACCAACAGAGGGACCAAAGGGCCTCGCTCAGTCTGTGTCATTCTTGTGTTTCTGTTCCAACAGGCTCACATGACCACGTTCTCCATTTTAATATATATATATATATATATATATATATATATATATATATATATAGTGCACTCTAAAAACTCTCTCCCAAACAATAAACTCGGGTTTCAGAATTAGCGATCCAATTAGCTGGGGCTCCCATTGACTGTCTCAGCATATGCCTGCATGGCCAGTCCTGCAGACAGAGAGAAAGAGGCTGGGTCTAACTTCCGAGGCGGCAGATGGAGGAGGCGGCCCAGAAGCAGCTGCAGGAATCAATCTAAACAGAAACTGCTTCTCAAATAAGGTCAGCCGTGGCATTATGTTGCCATCTGAGGATTCAGTGGCATCTGGTGAGAGGTCCTTTATGAGAAGGGGTGGGGTAAATGGCTCACCGATTTTGATTTTCAGAGCCTAGATAGACAATGTCTCTCTGTGCACAAAGAGCATTTGCCCCGCCCGCTGCACTGGAGAAAATGTGGCTCAGTCACATTCAGTCACAGCAGAAAGTTTACTTGGAGCGTCAGAAGTGCTATTTCAGCTGCAGGTAGTTCTGGGTTCCCATCTCCATAGTGGAGAGAACAACGCGGTCTCTGACCTGCTGGGACCCAGGGAGGGGTGGGTGAGATTTCGCTTAAAAAGCACTGGGGCCTTCTCCAGAACAAGGCAGTACTTAAGTCACAAAGAACTGGGGGAGGGGGGGCAGAACACAAAACATTCAAGTAACAGAGTTGAAGGTGCCACATGTCTCTGAGCAGAGACCAGGCAACATCCACCATGGGGAGCTGGTAGGCACCGGCGCTACATGGCAAAGGGTGCAGGATGAGCTCCGTGGGGAGCCCACCAAGTCACCCCCTCACTGAGAAGAGAAGAACATTGGCAAACGCCTTTGGGTAGGAGCGGGCTCTTGAGAGCAGGTGCGTCACTCAGCTCCCATGCTCCTCCACTTGTCTGCATGCTGGTGATCAGCCTCAACGTGAACGGATAAGGGTTTTTCCTCATTTCACAGGTAGAAACATCAAAGGGGTCAAGGCAGGGAGGGGGTGGGTAAGGCGAGGTTGTTTTTCCTCCTGTTTGTTGGTGAGGATAAACAACCACCTTCAGACTGGCAAAGAAAAAAAGAAAACAAACAGATACATTCTCTCTGGCTGGGCGCCAAGACAAAACCTAGGCAGGGTGGGAAGAGGTACTTTCTTTTCACAGCCCCTATTCTAGCAAACTACCGTGTGCATGCTTGCAGCTTAAAGCCCGCATGGTGGGGACAGGAACCGCCCCCAGCACAGGAGGGAGGGAGGGAGGGAGGGAGGGAGGAAGGAAGGAAGGAAGGAAGGAAGGAAGGAAGGAAGGAAGGAAGGAAGGAAGGAAGGAAGGAAGGAAGGAAGGAAGGTTTCAAGTTTAGAGACAATCTTTCCTACACAACTCACAATGAAAACTTGGGGGAAAAAAACTTCACACTTAAAAACCACAATATTTATTTTGCCACAAGAGCCCTCTATCCACGGGGGAGGGGCAAAGCATCCCCGTGGGAGCCTCCACTGTCACACTGAGCTGCCCCTGCACCGAGGGCGGCCCCGGGGCCCAGCCTGCCTGCCTATTCGTTCCCACTGGGTGATCCGAACACGCCTGGAGTCCTTCGCCTGACGCCCCGACCGCACCGCCAGGAGAGAAGGGCGCCTGCGGCCCAGGATGCTGCGAGCGCATCACCACCTGCGGCCCGGGATGCAGGGAGCGCATCACCGCTTCTTGGTGCCGCCGCCTGGTTTGCTGAAGCTGCGGCTCAGGTGCGGGAAGTGCACGCTGGGGGTTCTTTCCGTCGGCCCGTACAGCCCCAGGTTCCGGGCGGTGGCTGACTTCCGCAAGGGTTTGACGCTGGGAAAGGGGCTAAAGATGGGTGTCTTGGGGTGCCCGCCCTGGGGAGGGGTGCTGGTGGCGGCTTTGCTCTCGGCGGGGGCCAGCGGCAGCTCCGGGAAGTAGCGCTGGCCGGGCGGTTGCGCTCTGGCTCCCGCGGCCGCCCCCTCGGCCTGGGGGCTCAGGTCCAAGGCCTCCAGCTTCACCTGCACCTCGGACACGTCGGCCTCGGCCTCGGGGAACGCGGGCTCCGGGGAGCGCCCCTCGATGGTCCGGCCCGCGCTACCCTCTGCGGGCGCCGTCGCCGGCTGCACTCCAGGCCCCGCGGGGAAGGCTGCGTCCTCCGCGCCCTGGCTCCGAGGCCCACAGCCCTCGCTTGGCTCCTCAATCAGCCCCACCGTGTCCCCGCAGCCCAGCTGGCTCTTGCTCCGCGTCATGCTCTTCTTGTGCACCCGGATGTGAGTTCGCCACGGCGAGTTGAGCTTCGTCTTCAGGTCCTCGTAAGGGCCCGGGGATGCTTTGCCGCCCGGGTGACCCGGAATGTGGATGACGGCATTCTTGGCAGCTCGGTTGGACATTTTCATCTTCTTCCCCAGGAGCAGGTGGTTGATGACCGGGTAGTTGTTGACCTGAGACGGGAGGATGCTGGTGACCGGCCCTTTGTCTGAAAGAGAGGTTGAAAGGAGGCGTGAAAGGCCTCTCCGGCTCCCCATCTCCTCAATCTCCCCGTCTCCCCGCAAGCAGGACCACGCAAAGCCCCACCCCCACCCCCGACCCGTGCCACCCAGCACCCAGAACCTGGTGACTGAGGCAGCAGAAACTGAATTCAGCCTTAGAGTTGGGGAAGTCTATTGCACCTCCCCCAGCTCTCCTAAGAGGACCAGCCCAGAAAAGGAATTGATTCTACATATCCCTCCCTGCACTGCCCTCTTCCACCCCCACTGTCTAGAGTCTTCTCGGTCTATACCTCTGAAATCCTGTTTGTAGGAAATCTCCGAAGACTTGTGAAAAGAGTAAGTCAGATGCCCTGACCATAGCAACAGCCAGCCATCAGCCTTTCAGAGGCAGGAGGAAATGCAGCACAGAGAGAAAAGTGATAAGAGGGTGTGAAAATGCAGTGAAATCACAGTTATCCTGAACCTCTGACACACCAAGATGACTGCTGCTCTCTCCTGCAGAGACAGTGGCACTGCCCCCTCCAGGGCGATAACTGGACCTCATATCCCATGACCTCCAGCACCCAGGCCGGGGGGTGCCCACAGTTGGCAATGCAGGAGCAGGGAGGCCTTGCCATCTTTCTATCTTTTTTTTTTTTTTTTTTGCTTTTTTGGGTCACACCGGGTAATGCACAGGGGTTACTCCTGGATCTGCACTCAGGAGTTACTCCTGGCGGTGCTCAGGGGACCATATGGGATGCTGGGAATCGAACCCGGGTCGGCCGTATGCAAGGCAAACACCCTACCCACTATGCTATCTCTCCACCCTCAGGCCTTGCCATCTTTGCAGGTCTCTTCCAGGTCACCCTGCAGTTAAACTCCTCTGGACACACCCCCACTTCCTTGAACATTTCCTCCTGTCTCTGTTCCTGTCCTACTTGGTTTCTTTCACGTCTCTGTGGCTGATCCATCCTGCTAGATCCTCCAGTTCAGGGCATCTCCTAGCTCTTACATGGAAAACATCTGCAGTTCTTCTCTTTGACTCTCACAGCTCTCAGGCTTTGTGCCTCAGACTGAGCCAGAGGCTCCAACTCCTCCCTCTGTCTTTTCAGAATTTCTCCTCTGGTGTGGGCCCCCTGCAACATCAGGACAGCTAATGCAGGGCTGATCCCCCTCCCACACCCGCAATACAGGCATCCTGGTCCCTTGGTTACATAGGCCTGGCCAGTCCCATCCTAGATGCACAGGCTATGCTCTCTTTTCTAAAGTTGGAGCTGCTAGGAAAAAGATAAACGCACCACAAAAAAAAAAAAAAGAAAGAAAGAAAGAAAAGAAAAGAAAGAAATGCCTCTTCAAGCTTTTAACTTTTTATTTGCGTGATAATCTTTATCTCTCCCTCCTTCTACTGTTCCTTTCTGTGACCTATTCAAATCTTTCTACCCAATCCCCAACTTATTCCTAAGAAAGTGACCTTTGCTCCAAATTCCCCATGGAAACAGAAGGAATCAGGTCTGCCTACCAAGCTGATACTGCAAGAAGTCTTTTGCCAATTGAAACCCAAGCACAAAATTTGTAAATCTACAACTGTACCTCATGGTGTCTCACTAATAAAAATTTAAAAAAATAAAATAAAATAAGCCTTTTGCCTCTAGTTCATGTTCAGTCACTCCACCTGTGCAGCTAATCCTGTCCTATACATCACCCCTACACTTGCCTCTGAGAGTCTATTTCCAGCAGCAGAAGACTGTGAAAATACATTCTCTCAGTTCCAAACCTATTGAAGCAGAATCTTTGTTTCAAAATATCCCCAAGTGCTTCCTCTGCACACGTGGAAGTTTGAGAAGCTCTCAAAAACTCAGTGCTCTCTGAAACAACTATCTCTGCCTAAAAGGAACCAAATAAAACAATGATCAAGACGAGGAGCTGGGAACTTTCTCCGGCAAAGAACCAGATTATAAATATTTTAGCCACTGTAGACCAAAACAGGCATAGATAACATGTAAACAAAAGATCAGGCCAATGCAGCTGATTACAAAAGTCACACAGCAAGTAGGACCTGGGCCATGAACAAGCCTGCTCCCAAGGTGCGTCGAAGGCTGTTCCTCATGCTGGGCTGACTTGGTTAGTCCCCAGGCAACAGTTTACCATCCCACCCAAAGACATATATGGTGGCACTGAAAAAGAACTATCAGGAGCCAAGCACTTGACTCAAGCAGCAGAGTACATGTCGATCATTTGCAAGGCCCTGAGGTCAGTGCCGAGCACTGCCAGGGTGCCCGAGGGTCCTCATGCACTACTTGGGTATGCTTCCCAGAAAGTAAGGAAGGAAGAAAGTGAGGGAGGGAGAGACTATACAAATAATCAGAAAACAAGGGTTCTAGTGTTTTCTGATCACTCACTACAGCACTATGTGAAGACTTCCTTAATACTTCCTCATTTCTTAAATGGATTTAAAAACCTGGAAGAGATAGCACAACACGTAGAGCGCTTGCCTTGCACATGGCCTTCCTGGGTTCAAACCCCAGCATCCCATATGGGTCCTCAAACCCTTCCAGGAGTGATTCCTGAGTGCAGAACTAGGAGTAACCCCTCAGTGCCTCTGAATGTGCCCCCCCCCCAAAAAAAACCCTAGTCCTTGCTGTCCTCAAAGATGTAGGGCATTGAGTGAGGCTGGAGCCGTGGGGGGGGGGGGGGGGGGGACAACCCAGTGGTACTCAGGGTCTGGATTTGTGCTCTCGAGTGATGCCTGGCAGTGCTCAGGGGACAATAGGTGCCACTGGTGATGCAAACCTGGATCAGCAAGATTCAAGGAAAATGCTTTAACCCTTGTATAGATTTATTAAGGACAAAATGAGGGCATCTAAGTGTGAATGTCTTGAAAACTGAAGTGCTGTCGTTTTCAACTTTTCTTGCTTCCTTGATGACTCTGGATAAATAATCTATAAGAATCTCCCTATTCCTTCCTTTAAGCAGGTGAATTCAGTTTCTGTGCAAGGTCAGTCACATGCTCAAAAGCATCAAAAATATCAATATGTATTTTGGTTAATTCTGAATAGACATCATTTCCATCAGGATTTCATTTTAAACACAACAAACCCATTCCCAAATCATCACAAATTAAACAATAAAACAAATTGTTTGCTGAGATTTTTTGGAATTTCAAAATATGAAGCTTGACAATCCTTGGAAAAGAGTATTTGCAACCGTATTAAATTGTGTTCTCAGCAGATTCCCAAGACACAGCTAACCCATCAGCGAGGCCAGTAACTGGCTTTTTCCCTTTTCTCCAATCACAGCATCTGTTTTATTACTATGAGATGACTAGAGAACAGCTAAATTTACAGTGCACTGATAATTAAGTTTTATTTTCAAACGCTTAAAATTTTAGGAGGCAACTGCTCCAAAATGTCTCAAGTCCAAGGATTGTGTGGCTCTGGAACATTCTAATCATTCTTCACCACCACCACCCTCCCCCCCCTCCCATCAGCACATGGAGCAAAGATGCACTCAATACCAATTTTACGGTCCTTGGAACCTAAAAAGAAACCACGGTCTTTTTCTTCTTTAGAGCCTGATAAAAATAAAATTTTAAATGAGATGCAAAATATGCTATTATCTCACACCAGCTGTGCTTGTGGCTGCTGAGCCGCTGTGAGTAGCAACTCTGAGGTCACCCTGGGAATGAATGTGTTCTCCCATTCCCCAGCTGACACAGAGCTGCCTCTGTGTCGCTGTCTCTGCACCAGGATCAAGAGCCGCGTTACCTGCCCTGATGTACACCTGATGTGCCTGCTGCTGCTGCTTCTTCTTGATCCGAGAATATTGCCTCTTGAGTGCGTTAATATCTGTGGTCATGCGCTCCATCATCATACTGTTGAAAGCCGCATGGTACTCGCTTCGACAAGAGTTGATGGCTCCCGGACTCAGCTCGGCAATGTTATTGGATCTCAGACTCTGCTCTTCACTTGTTTCTACACCCCAGGGAGGAGAGACAAAGAGACAGTGTCGAGCAGGAGAACTGGTCTAAATGGAAACAGATCACACTACGGACTCTCCAGGAAGTTCTAACTGCCTCAAAGCAGATACCAGCTATCACAGGGTAGTTCTTTTCATTAGATCCTGAAAATATTTCTGCATTTTCATAGTCTTACTGTGGTTTAAAATAAGCTGTAAGATTGCCACTTTGTTCATTCTATAAATATGTTTTGGTACTAGATCAAAGTTACTAATATCTCTACAAATCCTTAAAAATGTATAACTCTGGGGAAGGGGGATCACAGAGAGAACAGCCAGGCAGGAGTGATCCCACAGCACAGAGCCAGGAATAAGCCCAGAGCACTGTCAGGTGTGCCCCACCCCAAAAACATACAAACAGACATATATAACATATATATGATATCATATATATATATATCCAGAAGCGTAAAGTCATTTAAATCATTATATAAATTATAAGACTCTGGATGGTAGTATAGCTAAAAGAGGGTTTTTTATTATGTAACAATGCATTTCTATTACATTATGTCTAATGTGTTTAGTCTGATGTGGTCTTTGCTTCTGTAACACATATAACTAGCAGATTTGTCCCTGAACAAAGCTTAAAATTTCATCTAATAAAGAGAAGCAAGTACTAAGGGAGAGTATACCCACGCTAAAGGGGATACAAAGACTTCTCTAGCACAATGATAAAATTTTCCAGAGGAGAAGCTGAAAATTACACATTTAGAAGGTTTCAAGTATCTGACATATACTTAGAAAGTGATACACAGAGAAAATTCAGAGTACCAATATATTTCCTTTTAACTAAATATATTGTAAAGATATAAAAAATTTTAGAATAATAAGGCCTGTTATATGAACTTAATTAAAACAAATTAGAAAGACAAATGGTGCTATTTATGATAAAGCAATCGTCATTCTGTAACACACAACTGCATGGTTTATAGAAATCAATAGGGAGGGTCAGAGAGATGGTACAGCAGATGGGGGGGTTGCCTTGCATATGGCCAACCCAGGTTCTATTCCTGGCATCCCATATGGTCTCCTGAAAACTGCCAGAAATAATTCCTGAATGCAGAGCCAAGAGTAATCCCTGAGTATTGCTGAATGTGGCCCCAAAATAAAAACAAACAGAAAAATCAGTAGGGGCTAGAATATGACTCAAGTAGTAAAACACATGCTTAATATGTATTTTACCACTCACATGTGAATAGTAATTTCACATGTAAGGCCCTGAATTTGATCCCCGCTGGCCTCTCCCCACCCATACATCTCAGAAGAGTACCAGTAGCCCCTGAGCACCCTGAGATCCAAGCACCAAACTGTCCAAGCACCCACCACAAGGCTGAGCAGCACTTGGACTGGCCCTGGATCCCCTCCCTCCATTTCCACAATCGATTGGTGTGGTGCCTATGGAAGGAAGGAAGGAAGGAAGGAAGGAAGGAAGGAAGGAAGGAAGGAAGGAAGGGAGGGAGGGAGAAGAGAGAAAGAGAGAGGAAGGAAGGAGGAAAGGAATGAAGGAAGGAAGGGAGGGAGGAGAAAGACCAACCCAGACTGCAGAAGCAAAGGTTCAAAAATTTTAGAATTAAAATATATATTGATCCCATGGCTAGAAACCAAAAGTTTGCATGCAGGCAAACAAGAGGAGGTATAAAGCCACTGCCTGGTTCACTTGTAGTAGTTATAAATTTTCTTAATCAAAAGTGGTCAAGGTAACCTGTAAAGAAAGGATTAAACATTTAAGATGTTCTAGTTCTGCTTTCTTAATTTTAAAAGTCACTGCTTCAAATTTCAATATGGGGAGTGAGAGTGTGAGAGAGAGAGAGAGAATTGTAAAGGACATAATGAAATCAATAGAACTCTTTTGGGTTTCAATTTTTAAAAGTCATTTAAAAAAGATGAATAAGTACAAAGGACATACACACAAACAGAATGAACCCAAACATCAATCAGTGTTAAAATTTAAAAAAAAATACTAAACTAAACTTGGGGGAAATACTGAAGACTTTACAACCCAAAACAAAAAATTTAAGGAAGAATTCAAAAAAATTCTAAGCATGAAGAACAAAACTAAGAATTAGTCCTGGGTTTTGAGAAACTAGTATAACATTGACAGATGGCAGGGTGAATGCAGGATTGCCTAACTTCTATTTCGTTTCTATCTTCTTTCAGCAAAGAGAATGCTCTCAAAACTTGAAGAGTAAAAATAAAATCCTAAAGAGCTGTCTTCCAGGATAAGAAAGAACATAGTAGGAGAACACAAACTGTTTCCCAAAAGCTCATTACAATAATGTCCAGAACAGAGGAAGTCTATTTGCCTCAAGAAAGAGCACCACTTAAAGAGCACCACATTTTAAGAGGGACATTACCAAACTGAAGAATATTCAAAGGTAAATTTCTATAATATTAAAAGTTCCACAAGTCATATCCTCTAGAAATACTTAAAGAAATTCTGAACATGTGTCAGGAAGAGAGCTTTGTGGGACACAGTGAGTGTCCTCAGAGATCTAGGTACTCCCAGCAGAAGATGCCACGATTTCTACTGTTTGTCCTCCACAGAAGTCCTGTTGGAACTAAAAGGTGGCGGTTTTCTCCTTGCAACCATGGACCAAAAGGAGGAATCAACATGACAGGAGGTTTCCTGCCACCCAATTCAGGTGGAAATTCAACATAATGTTTTAGATTTCAAGGATGTTTTTATAGTGGAAGAGAAGCCAATTGAAAATGAATTCATCTCAAGGAGAATGTAGTAAGCTTCTATTGCCAGCCAGCATCCGGGCTAAGGAACTGAGCACACAAGTTGAATCAGATGAGTAGGTTGTAAAATTACCATAAAGGGAAGGAAGTAGCGTGCATGCAGCCCATGTGACAGAGAGATCCTACTGCAGGATAAAGTAAAAGGAAAGGGGTCTGAATAGTGACCTTTAATAGTGGGAACCTCAAGAAATAGGCATCAGTAGGATGATGATAATACTCTTGCTGGAGAGACCCACCACACCGAGGGCATCTAAGTAGGCACTACCTCATTACCTTTAATCTGCTTTTGGTACTTCTGCAGTTCAGGTGCTAGGAGCCCACTGAAAGGGCCAAGACAACCTACTGCATTAGCAATGACATCTTCATCGTCTGGGTCATTCTCCTCATCACTGTCTCTGATCTTACCACGCCGCCTTGGAAAACAAAAAGAAAATTTTGAAGGAAATACCATTATTTTGGGAAAATAATACCAGGGCTTAACTGAAATGCACAAAAGTATACATATTTATAAATTGTGTAGAAATAATGTACATGTAGGGGAAAGATATATATTACACATATGTATACACAAACACACATACACACATCTATAACAATCTCTCTTAACCACTGGTCAATAGTAACAGGCCCTGAAGATGAAATTACAGAACTGAGTCTGCCCCTGTGATGGAAGGGGACACTCAAATATTGGTGGTGGGACTCAGACATTCGGGGGGGTGGGGGGGGCCAAGGCTAAAACTGTTACTAACAGTATTGTCAGCCATAGTGCTTAAATAAAAGTTTAAATAATAATCAATTCTTCAAGAATAACATTATATTGTGTTTTACAGATGTATAGAGATATTTGTGGGACACATTGACATTGAGAGAGATTACTGTCGTGGAATTTTGTGCCATATTTCAGTACAAATTTGAAGTCTGTGAGATTGCCATGTCTTAAAGTAGCCCCTTCTGTTCTTGTAAAGCTGGTTCCAAGTCTATGAAGTTCCTGAGCTGTTGTTTATCCATGATCTTCTGTATCGTACCTTCCAATCTGAATGAGAGTCTGGACGGGTAAAGTATTCTTGGCAAGGCATTAATTTCACTTAACTTTTTACTATGTCCCACCAAGTGATATGCATAATATCCTTTCAGTGACAGTATTGCAAACCAAGTTCCTGAGAGGAAAAATATCTGCTTTTTTTAAAAAACAAAAATAAAATAAAACTATTGTACTTAACAACAACAACAAAAATCTTTGGCAAAAAGACAGACAGATTATTAGTATCCAACTACTCTAAATATATTTCTAGGATTTAACTGGTATTGATACTAAACTACACTAAAATGTAATCAAGTCTTTCATCATGAATACCAGAAGGAACAAGTACGTACCCAGGAACTGAGGCAGGTTTCACCGCGGCTGGGAAGGGTGTGATGTTGTAGGTGTATTTTTCCCTCAGCTCTGCCAATTGTGGAAAAGGGAACGGTGCCATAGAATAAACTGTCTGCAAAAGAAAAGGGAAAAGATACCAAGTCTGAAAACGGGGCCCAGGACAACTTTTATCCATCCTGGAAAAACGTCCAGGTTTGACAAAGGTGGGTGTGAAGAGAGGGACAGTGATTGTTCCTTACACAGCCAATGGGCAGTTTCAACTTTAACATCTACTTAAGAGAAAGACAAACACAATGAATGACACAATTGTACATGCTCCCTGTTCCTCAGATCCCCCTCCTCCCAACAGGTAACCAGGGTGAACCCAGTGGTCTGCCTGGTTTCCTGCTGAGGTCAATTTCCAAATCTACAGTTCCCTCTTACTTTGTTTTTGTTTTTGGGTCACACCCGGTGATGCACAGGGGTTACTCCTGGCTCTGCACTCAGGAATTACTCCTGGCGGTGCTCAGGGGACCATATGGGATGCTGGGAATCGAACCCGGGTCGGCCACGTGCAAGGCAAACGCCCTACCTGCTGTGCTATCGCTCCAGCCCCAGTTCCCTGTTACTTTGATAGCAAAGAATCCATCAACCCTCGATGGTAATGCTTGTTTTTCAAAACTTTGATGACTTTTTTATAGACATTTATGTCAGTGTTCCAGATAAAATTAAGTCCAGTGAGTGATCTTGTGAGTGACTGCAAGTTTTTTTCAAATGACTGTGAATGCAACGTATCCTAGGTGAAAATTATTATCTGTGATATTTAAAGGAAAGGGGGTAAAGAAATGAAGTGGCAGAGTGTAAAGCATATAGGCTGTTAAAACTCTATAAATAAAGATAAAGCATATGTGCTTCCTCCAGAATTTCAAAAATTACATCTCATTAGATCAGCACGAGGAAAGTCATCTCTTTTTTGTTTGTTTGGTCTTTGTTATATTAAAGTCAAATTTCTCCAATATATTTCTTTAGTCCTTCAGGGTCGTTATTCACCTGGAAAGGTAGATTAATGCCACCAACTTTCATCTCTCCAGGTCTGAGAGATTAAAGCTGTTCAAATATCCTGATGACAGCTCTCCCAAAGCAAGATTTGTTCATCCCAGGCCTTTTCTCTAATGCTTGCAGGGCACACACAGAGGACTCACAGCTTAGTAGGAAGGAGCTGCAATGCCCTATTTCACTTCCCAGTGCACAGCTGCTCCGTGATGGTCCACTGTAATTTTCTTTTTCCAGAACATCCTCTTTATACGGTTGACCCTAAACTTCATGAGTCCCCCTTATTTCTCACCACAGATTGCCAGAATTCCAAACAAGTAAGAGTTGGCTCAAATGCCTTCCCTTCAACTGCCTATTATGAAACAAAGGTCCACAACTAATAGGGATGGCCCTGACATCTCTAAGCTGACTGTCTCACAGCCCATGTCAGCAGACCCTTAAGCAACCCCCATTCAAACTGCATGAATCCACTTACACACCTGCGAATCCCACACTCACAGATTCAAACAACCAGAGATGTCAGAATCCTTGGGGATAAAACCCACAGATAGGAAAGGCAGATCATGAAAAACACAAAAAAAACAGCCACTGATTTTTGTGTCCAAGAGTGGTGACTGAAACTCATATCCCGCAGATAACAAGGGGAAACTGGCATCATGTTTTCAAGAAGCCAAAAGTTCAGGGTAGAAACAGGGAGCCAGGGCAAGAGTGCATACCTGGCAAGCATGATGCTGATTCCTGACACACCTGACCACACACACCTCTGACCTGGAGCAGCATCTTACCACCTGGTGTGAACACTGAACTGTCTGGTCAGTTATCTAAGTGTAACTGAAAGTGGCCCTAGAGTCCCTCGGGATGGCTTAGGAGCCCCATCAACACACCAAAAAAAGAGTTCTGGATGAATTTTCATGAACTATATGGCAGCACAGGGGTTGATGCCCTGAGCTGCTGCCATGTTCAAAGCTATTGATGCCTGATTATGCAGGAAAGGCTGAGAGGCAACAGATAAAATCTACTAAAAGCAGAACTGTTTCCCTGTGGAAAGAAGCAAAGAGCAACTGAGAAGTGTGAAATCTGGCTGGTTCCCAACATCTCTGGGCCTCCTTTATCACATCTGAAAAGTGGATTACCTCCAAGAAGGGAGAGGAGAAGATGGGGTGTTGAGAGCCCAGGGAATGATAGCAAGGGTGCTACCGTGTTGTTACTGCCTTATTTCCTAAATAGGATGGTGGGAATGTAGATATAGTTTGATACATTATTTTCAGTATGTTCTGCATGTTCTAAATGCTTCACAAAATTTCACAGGCCATATTACTAACATGCTCTGCGTTCACTCAGGTTCTTTCATGCTCCAGAGGTGACCAACAGCCCATGACCCAAGAAGCTGCCCTTCTGCCATTTCAGAACTCTGCCCCCAGGCCCTCCTGAGGGAAACAAAGAGGTTTGAAACCCTCTGCTTGGCACCCAGAATTCAGCACCCCCAGCAGGAGCTCAGTGGAGCACCACCAGCCACTGACCATGACACACTAAATAAGGTTCCAGCATCAGAGCACGAGCCAACATGCCCTGCACTCTGTTTCTAGAGAAACAGAGTTAACCTTAATAAAAATAAGGTTTATTAAATATCTTAACCCCTAAAGAAATGGGGTTCAGATATTTAATAAACCTTATTTTTTTCTATTAAAGTTCAAAATATGAGATTAGGGGCTGGAGAGCCAGCACAATGAGCTAGAGCTTGTGGGAGGCCTGGATTTGTTCCCCAGCATCACACGGTTCCTGAGCACCTGGCCTGCCAAATTTCATACAGAGGTCAAGTTCTGGTCCGCAGGTAGTCAAGATTGAAAGCAGAGAACCAGAGATAAGATGCCTGAACTCAATGGAAACTTGATTTAGGGAATGGAAGGGTCGGGAGACTGGGGCATAAGGTCTTTAGATAGGATGCCTGAAAAAATATTACTTTTTATATTCTTTTAGCTAGGGGGATAAGTGAATTCTCCACATTAGGTATAAAACATTTAAGATAGTAATATAAAGGGGAAACAGAATGTTTGATATTATCTTCTCTATAGCCTCGGTGCATATCCAAGATCCATTCTTGGGAATTTTTCTCTGGGGCCATTTTCTTTCCAATCTCACAGGTACTGCATGGGCCCCTGAATAATGCCAGGAGCAACCCACAAGCCAGAAGCAGCCCCTGAGCCCAGTGTGACCCAACCCCTACCATTACCACAAAAAACAAACAAAACAAAAACCCAACCCCTACTACCACACACACACACACACACACACACACACACCATACACAAATATATATAGAGAGACTAGCTAGATTCACTTGTTTCATTTTTATCAGTATTGCAAAACATAATCAGAAAATTCCCTTGTCCCACCTCCTGAAGAAAGTTCGCAAGAACGGAATGAGGACTATAGCTTACCCCTACTTCCTCCGATCCTCCCTTGGTCAGCTAAAACCCTTTAACTAAGAAGAAAACTAGCTTTATGGTGCTTTCATGTTCTGTGTCTAGTGCTGTTCTCTCTACCTTTTCTCTCATTCCTGCAAAGAAGAAATCAGGACCAAACGTGTTTCCAGAAATTCAGACCGTGGCTCACTTGCTGTGGCACTCACAGTCTGAGGGCAGCTGAGCTGATGACAAGCACATACCAGTCTCCTCAGGGCACCAAGGAAGTTTCAAGCTTCCAACTTCATCAATCAGAGATTTAATGAGATTCCAGGGAAGGAATTTCACAAATCACTCGAGTCAAAATGTTACACAAATAGAATCTAGAATTAGGACTGAATTTAAACGCAACTTAGTTCAACCTTCCTTCCAAGCAGGAGACCCCTCCAGAGAGCAGAAGTCCTTAAATGTGTTTGACCTACCACCCATTTCTCAGAAAAACATTTACTTAGCAGCCCCCCAACTCTGCCCTCTTTAAGCAAACAAACTGGAAGCAATCCCCAATTGGGCCTGAGGTTATTGCTGCCCCCACTGAAGTGGCCCAGTGCTCTGGGCTGGGGTAATCACCATTATGGGGAAAAATCTACTCTAGATCAGTGCTCTTTAGCTCTCCTACACCTGTGGACCTGCACCTGTCCTGCATACCAGAGGACCAGGAGTTATAACTAAGACATGGACGGTAGTTTTCAACCTTTCTATACCAGTGGACCAACAGTGGTCCATGGCCCCATGACTGAAGACCACATTACTAGGGCATGTCCAATAAGGGTGGAATAGACACAGCTGAGATCTTCCAGTGATGGCATCTAGTGCTCCACAGAGCTGACAGCTTCTGTTTTTTGGTCTGCCTGCTGGGGAGGTGGGAGGGGATCACAGTCAACTATGTTCAGAGTTGACTCCTGGCTCAGTGCTCAGGGTCCGCTTCTGTCAGACTTGGGGGACCATGTGAGATGCTGGGGATCAAACCTGGGTGAGCCACGTGCAAGGCAAGTACCCTACACACCGTACTATCTCTCTGGTCCCACAGCTTCCATTTTTTTTGTAGGAGTACTGCTATTTATTCAGCCACTGTTTAGCTGATTGAATTGGGCATGAACTCCACCTTAATTTTTTTAATTTATTTTTTTCTTTTTATATTTATTTATTGAATCATTGTGGGAAACATTACTAAGCTTTCAGGTTTAAGTCTCGGTCATACAATGATCAAACACCTTTCCCTTCATCGCTCTCCTTCTACTGAACAAGCAGCCACGCCCTTGTAACCACCACTCTATCATGAACAGAAAAGGGTAAACAACCCAAGGGAAATGCCTGGCACTCTGTGAGCCCCCACCCAAGTGACGATGAACCACTGCCAGGCAATTTGGAAATGGGTTTCTCCAACCATTATCTCTACTGCCTCAAAGAACACATGGGAGGCTGTTGACTCTGACGAAAATCCACACACACTCTTCCACTGGCGTTCCCCAATCCCTTTTTTGAGTACTCTCATTTTTTAAACAGCCATTACTAATAAAGAGTGATGTGATTTATGAGGGAATAAACCCCAGTAGATAATTTTGTCTGTCACACAGAACTGAAAAAAAAAAAACCCAATCAGGAGAGACCACACTGGGAG